GTCCGCCTCCGACGCAGACTCCTGCTTGAGGGAGGCCGCCGCCGACCCGCCGGTCGACGCGTTGCCGGCGCCCGACCTGCGACACGACAGGGGATAAGGTCAGTCTGGTGTCCCCCAAGGTCTACAGTTTCCTTTCCTTGGCAAAGCGGATTGACATATTTATGATGGAATTACGTAATTATTTAAAAAAATATACAACATAATAACAAATTTATTATTTTGTTATTGATTTATTATTCAACCCCCCATATATGGAACGCTGCCCCTTGCAGGTATCAGCTGTTGACGGTTTCATCCAATCGGGAGATTGAATCTGACAATAGTGACGTCCCTATGGTGACGTTCAAGTTACCGATTGGATGAAACGCTCGTTACATCGCGATTTTCGCACGTCTGCCCTCGGCAGATATCATTCATCGGGAGCTTGAACGTCACTATGTCATCCAATCGGGAGCTTGAATGTCACCATGGAGATGTTCAAGCTTCCGATTGGATGAAATTGTCAACAGCTGATACCTGCGAGAGGCAGAGTTGAGAAAATCGCAGTATAGGGATGCGGCATCGAGGTTTATAAAATCGATGAATTTAACATCGATGTTTTGAAGCCAATGTTGTTTTTCATGGTCAATATTTAGTTTTCGATGTTTTTACATGACTCATTTTTTTAATGAGAAATGAACCATTATAATAAAAATCTGTAACAATTTTCAGTTATCCATAAAAAAGGAGGCCAATCGGATATCGAATTACATAGAAACCCTTAGAAATGCGTCAATTTTTTTAAAAGAAATGTTAAAAACAGCTTAAAAAAGCTTACGAAACTACCCTCAAAATAATCCGCAATTTCAGAGACTATATTCCTTGTACAACTGCCTCCAAACACACGTTCAAAATTCAAAAATCGGCTAAAAAGATTATACGTAAATGAAACACTTGAATGGATAAAGGAGCCCAGAAAAGGTGTTGGTCTCTTCTTGATTTAGGCTGTGCACGCCTGGGATATAACTATCGTCTTTAGTAGCCTATCATAACTTCCGCCGTGCATACGCAGAGGCTCGGAAGTGGGTTTATGTCGTATACAATACAGTGTTTTACACTGTGCAAAAGCGCTCTGGTATCGTCGTTGAATTGTAGAATCAACGGCACGGAATTTATACAAAGAGCAATGACGCCAAAACGGAACCCAAAGGTGGAACGTAACCTTTGAAATTAACACACCCGAAAAACATCTCCTGTGTCAAACCTTCTTTCTAAGTGATATACTTGCAGAATCTGAGTGCTTTTGCGAATGTCGTCGACCCCTTCCGGAAACTCGGTTCCCGTGTAGAGTATGGGAAAGGGCACTTTCAGAGCAATTAACGAGATAAGCGAAGTGATGAAATGCGCTCGCGTCCTGCGCAGCGGTTGTCATACCCACGCACACCTCCAGGGTTCGAGCGACGTCTGATTTGGGCTCGGGTGAAATCGGGGGCCACACAAACAATACGATGTATACGGAATGGCAAAATTAGTAAATAAAAAAAGTAACAAGTTAACAAGTACATAAAATCATATATTCTATGTAAGATCAAAGTTCACTATCAAACAGTTTGTTCACTTGTACTGCACAAATACCGTTATAAAAAACAATTTAATCCATAATTTAACAATTTAAGATTGCATTAATAAAATACGTATTATTTTTTTAAAAATATTATGCGATGCCTACTTTGAATAAGTTTTCTTAAGAGCATATTTTTTTTTTAAATTTTGGCAGCTATGAGCGTAATGGTAAAAACGTAGAAAAGTCAATGACCAGAAAATCACCGTAGTTTTCTTTTAAAAGCGCTACATGTCTGCTACAACCCATATTTCTCGAAACTTACGGCTTAAACTCAAAGAAACACAACGTCACTGATACTTTCCACACTTACAAGTGATATTCTCAGCGCAGTTTTACTCTTGCCGCGTCATAGATAAACTAGGGCAGTGCAGACGGAAGTTAAAAAAATTGTATGCATTCAGAAGCATCTACATGTGGGACGCTAAGAAATCTTACAACAGAATATTACAGAGAAACTGTTTGTATTGCTGTAACATTCGAGTTTTGAAAATAGAGCACACGAGCATTAAGGAAATATTAAAAAGGTCTTATTAACACAAATATTATTCTTTGGAAATTTCATACATTTCTTTCAGAGTCACTAATTTTTTAATAAGTTCGCTCAAAATTTTCTTAAAATTGGAGACAGTGATGACGAAAACAGACCTCAAGATGACCAGAGTAGATTTTACGAAGAAAAGAGCAGCCTTTACGATACAGATAGGAGGCTTTACGGAAAAGAGCAGACTTGACGATGAAGAGAGCGTACTTTATGACGAAGAAAAATACTTAAAGATGCAGACTTGACAATGAAGAGAGCAGACATTATGAAGATAACATATTCTGAGCTAAAGAGAGCAGACATTGCGACGCAGAGTTCAGACATTATGTCGAAGAGAGCACACTTTAGGACGAGAAAAAATCTTAAGATGCAGAGAGCAGGGCTTTAGAAGGAAGAAAGCAGGGCTTTAGAAGGCAGAGAGCAGGGCTTTAGAAGGAAGAGAGCAGACGTTAGAAGAAAGAGAGCAGACGTTAGAAGAAAGAGAGCAGACGTTAGAAGGAAGAGAGCAGACTTAGAAGGAAGAAAGCAGACGTTAGAAGAGGACACTAGAAGAATGCAGACGTTAGAAGAAGGAGAGAGTGAGGACGAGAGCAGAGTTAGAGGATGGAGCAGAGTAAACAGACGTTAAGTTAGAGGCAGCGTAGAAGAAAGAGCGGATGAACTTTAGATGTAGAGAGCATGGCTTTAGAAAAGAGAGCAAGAGGATATGAAGAGAAAAAGGCTTCGCGATGAAGAGAGCAAAGCAGACTTCAGCGCGGCGAGCGGCCCGCTGCGATGGCCCAGCGTCCGCACCTGGCGCGATGGGCTGCGCTGCTGGCGCCGAGGCCGCTGCCGGCGGCCGCCGCGTGGCCGCGTGTGTCTGGGGCGCGGGGCGGCGCCGGGCGCGGCCTCGCCGTCCGACTCCCTCGCTCGTGTACCTTGAGCTCGCGCTCGTCCGACAGGCTCCTCCTTGAGGGCGGCGCGGCCGCGGCGGCGGCTGCAGCGGCGGCTGCAGCGGGAGCCGGGTCCCTGGGTGGGCGCGGGGGGGCCCGCGGGGGTGGAAGGGCGGCGGGCGGGTGGCGCCGCGGTGCGCGTCCGCAGGGCGGAAGCTTTCAGCTGCTCGTCCTCCAGCAGCTCCTCCTTCACCTGCCCACAAACACGAGGCGGGGTCCAGTGCGGAGAGGACAATGATAAAGCGACATCCCCCACTACCCCGAAAAATTAAATGTTGTCAACAGTAGAATGAAGAAACCGATATGCGCTCTCGGTCCGGATGGCCGAGATTCGCTAAGGAGTAAATTTCATGGGTCCGGGGGCAATGCTTGAAACGACATCCCCTCCGCCCGAAAAAAATTAAATGTGTGAAGTGAATAAAAAAAAACTATGCAGTTTCGGTCCGGATGGGCCGAGGCTAAGGCGTACTGCCGTGCGATCCGGAACACGAGGGATCGCGGGTTCGAGACCCGCCACGAGCATTGTTGTATTGAACTCACCGGAGAGACATTTACGTGTGTTCATTTATAGGAATCAGCCTTTCGGCTGGTATCTTTAGGAAAACAAGGTTGCTAAGCTTGAATTAAGCGAATCTCAGGCGATAGAATGATGATCGGAGGCGATCGTGGCCTTTTTTGAAACCATCCCAGCATTTCATTTTATGACGCGAAGCACACCACGAAAACGCCGTCACGATGGCCGCCATTCCTGGATTCGAACCCGGTCCTTCCCTTATTACGCAGTCAGTGCACTATGCACTGAACCCTTTCTCTCGGTATTAATAATAACAAAAATAATAAGTAATAAAATATTAATAATAACAAAACAGCATTATAGTAGACTTGTGCGCATGAGACTGTTGGGCAGCCGTTGTCTAACGCCGAGGAGGCTGCAAGTTTTAGTCCTGCCGTAGACCTGGTCTTATACGTGAATAGTCCCCTTTCACCCCTCATCATCATTCTATCATCTCATAGATATAACCACTTGAAGGTAACAACCTTGACGTACTGAGGATACAGCTAAAAAAGCTAATCCTGGTAAATATTACACACGTTAATCGTGTAGCTGTGGTCAATAGGACCCGATACGCCAATAATAATAATAATAATAATATAATATAATAGTAATAATAATGTATAAAATAGTAATAATTTAATAGTAAGCCGATCCGGTGGCCCGAGTTCGTAAAGGCAGTAGTGCCGTAGCGAACTCGGACCGAGGATCGCGGGTTCGAAGTCCCGCCTTCGGGCAGGTTGTATTTGTTCGTCCTTCACCCCTATCATCATCATTATCGTGTCAACCCCACAGTTACCATACCGTTACAAGCAATAGTGGTCACTAATGACTATAGTTGATGCGACCTAAATAACCAAAAAATAAATAAATAATAGTAATAATATATGTAAATATATAATAATAAATAAATAATTAATAATAATAATAATGTGTGACTGGTCGTTGTAATTCGTTGCAAACGCGGAAGGCGGCTACCTGTCGCGAGGCGGGATTCCGCGGAGGCGCGGGTGGGTGTTGGATGGTGGTGGGGTGAGTGTCGTCGTCGGGGCCTCCTTCTTGATGTCCTGCGGCCGCAGCGGCGGCGGCCGCGCCGCCGCAGCGGCGGCGGGCGGCGGCGGCGCTCGAGCGCCCGACGGCGCGTTCCGTGGCAAGCGGTGAGCGCCGCGACGCGCGCAGCTCAGCGGTCGCGCCGTCCCGTCCGAGCTGCCCGCCACGCCCCCGCGGGCCAAGGCAGCGGGGTGGCGCTGGGGGCGGCGGTGTGGAAGAGGAGCAGCCCCCGCGCCGGCGGTCGACGGCCGTCGCCGGGGAGGCCTGGTCCTCCTCCGTTCAGGCTGCTGCCCGCGCGTTCTCTCGCTGCAACAAACACAACACACATGCACTCGGCAGTATTCAACAAGTGTTGCGTGCGCAAAACGGATTCGTTCGCCGTCGCGAAGATGTGTTCGCTGCCGCGGCGGAGATTCGTTCGCGTAGACATCGTTCGCTGCGGTGAGGAGATTCATTCCGCGGAGGTACGTTCGTAGTCGCGAAGAGATGCCTTCGTTGCGCGGGGAGATTCGCTCTAGGAGAATCGTTCGTTGTCGCGAAAATTACGTTCGCTGCCGCGGGAGATTCGTTCCGCTGAGGGAATCGTTCGTAGTCGCGATACGTTCGCCGCCGGGGGAGATCTTTCCGGAAGATCGTTCGCCGTTGCGAAGATGTGAGTTCGCAGCCGCCGAGGAGTTCGTTCGCGGAGGATCGTTCGTAGTCGCGACGAGATTGCATTCGCTACCGCGGAGATTCGTTCGTGGACTATCTTTTGCTGCCCGAAGAAGCGTCGCTGCCGCGGGGAGATTCGTTTGCGAAGGTGTTTCGCCGTTACGAGAGAAGATTGCGTTGCTGCCGCGAGGCGATTCGTTTAAGCTACTCATTGCGCGTTCGCTGCAGCGACAATAACGCAACATATGCATGCACACACTCATATGCATGCACCCCTGCCCTCACAAGGGTGCGTCGCGAACTGATTCGTCCGCGAAATTCTTCGCCATGGAGAAGAGATGCGTTCGCTGCCGCGGTAAAATTCGTTTAAGCTTACCTCTCGCACAGATGCTAATGTTTCGGTTGCCATTCTGTAAGACGAAATTGCATTCGGACTGAGGATGCGTTGGTCGCGATTCCCCTGAGGAATGTCGCAGAATGGCGACCGAAAGGTGCAATTTGCCTAGGCAGCGCGTTCCCGGACAGACAAGTAAGAGCGCAGGAAAGGTTCTCCGCTCTGCCGACACAGGACCTCCTATTACAAATTGCATTTATGTTGTCAGCATCGTAATCACAGGAAACAAGTGAAGCCGTTACACTCCCAGCATCTGTTACGACTGTAGTGAGTATTACAATCTACGTTTTGTTTTGGCAACAAACTGTCGGATCGTGCCTACCAGCATAATTCTGTTGTTAAGACCATTGAGCAAGGAGAGACTTGTCCTGCACATTGGTATTTGCACATTGCATTTATGTATCGATTATGTAAAGATTTTCCCGTTTCCCCTCCGCCATCATTCATGTTCGCACTTCACCATCACCGTCATGAGGACATCTTCTTCATTCCACATTGACATAAAGTTGACAAGAGCTTCCTAACGTTCATGTGTGCCTTTAAATTTTAACAGCGTCCGTTGTAAGTGCCATCGTTCGAATTCGCGAGCGCTCACCTGGTTCTCGCGGCATGCTGAGTGCGCCGCCACTGTGCTGGGCAGGCATGAGCAGGTCGAGCGGATCTCGTCGGAGGGCGAGGACGAGTCCTCGGGCGGCAGAGTGCGGACGACGCGGGCGCCGGCGGGTGTGGCTGGCGGAGGCGGAGCGGCGGCGCCGCCGCGGCGCGGCGGGCGCCGGGGACGGACGACGCCTGCGGCGCCGGGGCCACACGCCCGCCTGGCGGGCGGGCGACATGGGCGCGCGCCCCGACGCCGGCGAGCCCCGGACGCCTCCGCCGCGCTGCCCGCCGGGGACGGCTCCGACGCGCCGCGACGAGGGCTGCAAACGCACACGCGCAATAGCACTCTTAATACTACAATCGACTCCGGTTATAATGAACTCGGTTATAGCGGACTCGGCTATAGCAAACTCGGCTATAGCGAACTCGGCTACAGCGGACTCGGCTATAGCGAACTCGGCTATAGCGAACTCGGCTATAGAGAACTCGGCTATAGAGAACTCGGCTATAGAGAACTCGGCTATAGAGAACTCGGCTATAGTGAACTCGGTTACAGTGCACTTCGCTACAGTGAAACATCAATTATATGCACAAAATTCAGACACGAAGGCAGAAAATGGACGTTGGGAAATATTCATTTGCAAATCGAACTATTAGAGACTGGAACGGTTTGTCTGTAACAATCTTCGAACCCTTTCCTCAAAGCCTGAGCAAATTTAAAAATAAATTTGTTTCCTGAATGTTGATACGTGTATTATAAATATCTTTAATATTATTCAGTGTAAGTAACTACGTCTACTGTATAATTATGTATTATTGTTATTAATATTAGTAATAATTATGTGTAGTGGAGTGGCTTTGTGAAACCGAAGGAAGTGAATGCGTAAAAAAGATATAACAGCTCTGTGATTCGCAGTGCGGTGAAGTGAAGTGTGGTGAGGTGGAGTTCTATGAAAGATTGCACGGTGAAATGCTCACGTTAATTTGTAAAGTTTGTAAATTTTGTAAAGTTGTAAAGTTCTTTAATGTTAAGTTGGTGTATTCTGACACCAAGTTCTCAAACTTAATTACAGAATTAGTAATAAATCTAATCTACCTGTAGTAAACTTAAGTCGCTAGACCCGTTTTACTTGCAAAACAAACAACTTACAAACTACACTTAAGAATATTCGATTACAGTGAATCTGAACCTCGGCTACAGTGAACCAAGGAAATAAGTCGTGGAAATTTATTGTATCTCGTATATTATTACGTAAGGACCGTCGGAGAACGGGGCGGTGTTCCCACATTGTAAGATATATTGAAGGGTGTCAGAACTGCATTACTATACTGAGAGATAAAGGACAATGCAGTGTCAAGTATGGAGAGAGCACGACCTCTGTAGAAGAATCTTGAGAAATTACTAATGAAAAATGTCCGAAGCAAGCAATTGAAAATAATTATTTTTTACGGACAAATAAAGGTATTGAAATTTTCAGTTGAGACCGAAACTGTTAAAACATTTTCCTGCATCTCTGTGTTAATAAAATATACCAATGAGGTGAAATTCTATTTAATTTTGATATCATCGGATATAGTGAACCAAACATGTTCGTCCCCAGAAGTTCATTATAACCGGAGTTGACTGTCTTTTTTTCAACTTCAATTGAATAATTCTGTCATTTTTGGCTACAACTCGTTGCATAATGATAGTCATTACGATACAGAATTAATTATGATACATGTTCTTGACCAATCACAGTGAAACCAATTATTGAAACTTAATTAATGATTGAGAATCTTTCTAGTAAATGTTTTCTTCCACTGTGAACATAAAAACTCCATTTAATACATTCTGAGTAATTCTTCGTGTAATATTATTTAAAATAAATTGGATCGTAATTTCACTTTGATCCTAATTGACTAGCCCAGTACTCCCTCGCAGGCAGACTGGTAACCAAATCCACCTGCGACAAGACTAAGGTTTGGGAGCTGTCCGCTAGGTGTCCTTGGCTCAACCCTGCATGTCAACTGCCACGAAACGATTCAATGTAAAAGTTTACCTTATAAATGTCACCGTAAGTCGTAAAAAAAGTATCGTATGAAACTCGATGTAATGGGTATTCGTGTGCGAAGTTTGCGATACACGCTCGTTCCTCGCCCTTATCGTAATATCACACACGTGTATTAATAACCCCCCTTTACACGGTCGTTTCATAATGTACATTTTTTGACGCAAATTGGCCGTCTATCACCACACTGACACACATCTGCACTTTACGCTTCAATTTGTTATCCGTGCACTGATTCTCAAATTGTTCAAATTAAGGCGCATGATTCCTCTCTTCTGAATATTGTAATCTCTATGTATCCCGTTTAAATCCCTACCAGAAAAAAATGTCTTCAAAAACTCTTCAAAACTAGACTTAAAGGAAATCGTATCGAAGATACCGATATAACAAGAACTCCAGATATCAATAAAATGGAGATATGAGGGAAATAGAGATACCAAGAAAAGCGAGAAATCAAGGAAATGAAGATTTCAAGGTAATCAAGACATCATGGATATCATGACGACTTATTTGAAATACGAATAAACCGAAGACATTAGATAATGTGCATTCGCAATATGTCCACTAATACGATATACTATCATCTCCTCAGATTTCACCGTCCCTCTGCCCCGATTTCTCCCGCCCGTGATATGTGAGCCGTATCACCAGCACTGCGCCCCGGACCCAGGAGCTACCCGCGGCCAGGAGCTACCCTCGCCGTTGGCCTACATCCCGCCTAACCGCCGAGATGCGTGGGGGGGCGGAGAGGAAAGGAGAGAGAGGTGGAGGCGGTCGTCCACGCGTCGCGCACCCAAAGCACCCCAACTGCGTGCCGCTAACCGTACTATCACGTCACGCCACTATCGAAAACCCCCCCGCCCCGACCCCCGGCGCCCACTTCGCCCTCTGCGCTGCCCTCATTCTAACCTCCGCGCCCTTCAATTTATCTGCTCTTCTTCGACCTATTCTGCCTTCGCGCCCTCTGTCACCTCGCTGCCCTCATTCTGTCCTCCGTGCATGTCACCCCCCGCCAGCTTCTGCCAATGATAAACCGTTCGCCCTCAGTCTGCCCTTTCCCCGTTGGCTACTGTCCAACCCAGCGCAACTCCCTCTAGCCACGCTCCGCTGCCCTCATTCTGCCCTCCCGCAACCACTGCTGACTCTCCTCCACCTTCATACCGCCATCCGTCCTCACCGCTCTCCATTATTCGCCCGTTGCCACCCCAACCCCTTTATTTCTGCTCTCCGCCGCCCTCATTCTTGCCCTCCGCTGCTTCCCACCATCCTCATTCGGCCTTCCGCCGCTCTCATTTCTGCCCTTTGGCACCCCCGCACCTCGATACGCTCTCCGCTGCCCTTCAATCCGCCGTACGCCGCTCTCATTCTTGCCCTCTGTTCACCCTGCCGCCGCCTCATTTACGCTGTCTGCCGTTTTATTCGCTTCCGTCCTCTCATTCTGCCTCTGTTTCACCCTCCGCCCTCATACGCTCTCCGCGCCTCATTCCGCCTTCCGTCGCTCTCATCTGCCCTCTGTCACCCTCCGGCCGCCCTCATTACGTCTCTCCTGCTGCCTCCAATCCGCCTTTCCCAGTCGCTTCTTCATTCTTCCCTCTGTAACACTCCGCCCCCTCATTACGCTCTCCGCTGCCCTCATTCCGCCTTCCTGTCACTCTTCATTCTGCCGCTGTCACCCCTCCCGCCGCCCTCATTACGCTCTCCGCTTGCCTCATTCGCCTGCCTGCTCGCTCTTATCTGCCCCTCTGTACCCTCCGACGCCCTTGATTACGCCTCTCCGTGCCCTCAATTCCGCCTTCCGTCGCTCTCATTCGCCTCTTCACCCTCCGCCGCCCTCATTACGCTCTCCGCTCCTCATTCCGCCTTTCTTCCGCTACTTCATTCTGCCCTCTGTCAACCTCCGCCGCCCTCATCACGTCTCTCCGCTGCCCTCAATCCCGCCGGTACAACGGCCGGCTCTCATTCTGCCCTCTGCCACCCTCCGCCGCCCCTCATTACGCTGGTCTGCCGCCCTTATCCGCCTTCCTCGCCTCATTCTGCCCTCTGTCACCCTCTGCCGCCCTCATTTACGCCTGTCGCGCCCGTATATAAACCGCTTCCGTCCGCCTCTCATTCTGCCCCTCTGTCACCTCCGCCCCTCATACGCCCTCCGCTGCCCTCAATCCGCCGACCCTCTCATTCCCACTCTGATCAACCCTCTCGCCGCCCTCATTACGCTCTCGCCTCCCCTCAATCCGCCTTCCCGGTCCACTCTCATGCTGCCCTCTGTCACCCTCCGCCGCCTCATTACGCTTTCGCTGCCTCATTCCGCCTTCACGTCGCTCTTCATCTGCCCTCTTCACCCTCCGCCGCCTCAATTACCGCTCTCCATCTGCCCTCAATCCGCCCTCGTACGCCGCTCTCATTCGCCGTCTGCACCCTCCGGCCGCTCTCTATTACGCTCTCCGCTGCCACATTCCGCCTTCCGTGCGTCTCATTTGCCCTCTGTCACCCTCCGCCCCTCATTTACCCCTCCGCTCGCCCTCAATTCCGCCGTTACGCCTTCTCATTCTGCCTCTTTCACCCTCCTCCGCCTCTATTACGCTCTCCGCTGCCCTCTACATCGCACTTCCCCCCTCTCATTCTGCCTCGTGTCACCATCCGCAGCCGCTCATTACGCTCCCCTGCCTTTCAATCTCGCCCCGTACCCCCCCCGCCCGGGCCGCTTTTTTTCTCATTCTGCCCTCTGTCACCTCCGCCGCCCTCATTACGCTGTCTGCCGCTCTTATTCTCGCCTTCTCGCCGCTCTCATCTGCCCTCTGTCACCCTTCCGCGCCTCATTTACGCTCTCCGCTGCTCATTCCGCCTTCGCGTCGCTCTCATTCTGCCTCTGTCACCCTCCGCCGCCCTCATTACGCTCTCCCGCGTTGCCCATTCATTTCCGCGTTACCGTCGCTCTCAATTCTGCCCTCTTGTTCACCCTCCGCCCACCTCAATTATCCTTATCCTGCTGCCTCATTCGCCTTTCCCGTCGCTCTCATTACTTCCCTCTGTCACCCTCCGCACCTATTACTCTCCGCTGCCCTGTCCGTCTTCCGTCACTCTCATTCTACACCCTCAGTCACCCTACTTTCCTCCCCTCATTACCGCCCGCCGCTGCCTTCATTCCGCCATCCGTTCGCTCTCATATCTTGCACTCTTCATCGCTC